AGTTGACAGGAGAAGACTTGCGACTGAACGCCCAGCCATGCGATTATAGATGGATCTATTTGCATTGTTTTCGAACGTAATGTATCTTGTCCATATTTATCCTTGCTTCATATTCTACAACATCAACGTAACGAACTTCTCGCTTCATTTTGGTGGTTGCGCACGTCTGCTACGTATGTTTTAACTCCCTTTTACCCTTTTCAGCGGCCACCGCTAACAATTCTGGAAGTAAACCCAGACGGAAAAATCGTAGGGTACCGAGGCTTTTGCTTCGAAATGTTGACCACTTTAATGAGAAAATACAATTTTAAGTAAGTGAAACGGCTTGAGTTAATTAACAGATGTGTCGTCTCTTTCGAAACATACATCATTGCATGCAGCGACTTGAGGAAAGATTTTCAACTTGATGCCATTTGTTGCACCTGCACCACTAAAACCATCCATGCGTCGACTGCGTCACTTTGTGCCAGCATATTCTGTACACACAGAACGCTGGGTGCTAGCCCCATGGCCGCAATATCGCCATTGTTTCAGTTTTCGGGTATGTCAAATGCCATCGCATCATAGATCGTCTCACGCTTTCACACCCTCGCCGCTCTCACCCCTGACAAATGTGAGGTACAGGATGGGCGCATCAACTTGGTTCTGAACGACACATGCACTCTTTCAGAATAGACCTTGTTCTGCCGTACGACGGAAACTGGGGTAGTCTTCTGCCAAACAATACTTGGAACGGAATGGTTGGGATGGTCAACAGAACGGTGAGACGGGTGATGTGAAATGACCATAAGAGCGCCACCAAGCAGCGAGGAGCAATGCTTGACAAGTCACTGTTTGACAAGATAACTCTGAATAGATCTGCAAGTAGCTGTCTGAAATAGACGAGTCCCATCAGCCTTGAACACATCGATTCCAGAGAATAGCTTTCAGCAGGCGCAATTATAGCAATGCTCGTCTGGTTTGTAATTACTGATGACCATTTCTTGCTACTTCAGCTTGAGGAGAATATGATCGTTATTTTGTTATGTTATTGGCAAAAATTGTTATTGTGATTACTATCATGTCATTTCGTTCTGACCTATTTTGAGTTCTGAGCTTTCTTGTCATGAGTCTTATTTTGCCGATTCAAAACACGACAGGTATATCTACTTCACGTGGGTTGATGTTTCAGGTTTAACTTTCCAGTGTTGCCAGCATACTAAGTGTAAGATTGGGATGGTGGAACTCCGAGTATCAAACTGTGTCATGTAATTCTCTTACACCAGCTCTTTGCACATCAAAATGTCACACGCTCCATGATACATGCTACACGCTACATGCTACATGCTACATGACCACGAGCCGTAGGGGCTTTTGGCTCACTGCTGTGCAGAAACGGCGCGCGATGGTAATCAGCCGCGAAACGGTGTTTTGTCAGTTACTATCACTCACACAACTGGCAATTAAACGGTGCTCCGTACCATTGTTATTTATGATGATGCTATGACGCATGCAGACCATTTCCTCATTCATGTCAGCTCTCTTCTATTAGCAGTGCATACGCCAGGCTCATTAATCGTTAACTGCCTACGCTATAAACCGATTCGTGTTTCAGTCGCATATTGAAGGGGTTACGCTGACCAATGTCATGTCAACCCGCGTGTAACCAGTGTCGGCCGGCGAAGTCGACCTCGGATGACACAAGACCCTGAATCCTTCTGGCCTGTTCAGGAGGTTGACATGGCGGTGTCGGGCTTTACCATCTCCCACATCCGGGAACAGGGCATCGACTTCACGACAGCCTTCCACGAGGAAACCACGGCCATCCTCCTGCCGGCGCCGCAGCCAGAGAGCAAGTTGTTCGCGCTGGTCCAGCCCTTCCCGTGGCAGGTGCGACGACATACGACGTCCGCGCCGCGTGGCGCGAAATCGCGTGTTGCGAGGTGAAGGTGACCTGCTGGCTCGTAGGATGTCAAATCATGTGACGCCGGAAATACGGCGATAACGTTTAGTTGTCTTTGACATAGTCTTATGGAGATGCAAATGAGGCTGATAGATGGTTTCACTTTCCAAGATCCGTACAAATTCCAGCTGTTTTTAGTGACATTAAAAGCTATTCTGAAATCGCACCCTGAAAAACGACCGTCAATTATAACCGGACGCTACGCAGCAGCCGCGGCTATTTGCTTGGTGGTGACACTGGCGCTGCGTGGTGGTTAAAGGACGCAAATGGCGATTTGCGCAAATAATAGTGAGCCTTGCACGATCAAAGCCAGTTCACATATGTGCCGTGTACGGAAAAGTCAGTTCAGAGTTTCCCAAGCATTTTTCTTCACGCGGCGCTTCTCCAGCCACGGCTTACATAGCGGCGGTAACTGCTGGACCCCGATTTATTTTCTCATAGCTCAGGCAAATGGGCGGCGAATTCCGCACCAAGTCTCGTGCGTTTCTAATGCCACGACTTGCTCAGTATTAGTCGAGTGTCGGCAAAACGTCGTTGGAAATGAATAAATCAATGGTACCATCAGTTCGAAGCAAACATCATTCATTATTTGCGTAAATGAGGCAGTATTGTTGCTCGTCCAATCACATGTCATCCAGCGGACAACGTTCTTCCGCTTTGGCCCGCACGGCTGTACTAGGTCCCGTCACCATTCATTTGTCTTATCTATCGAGCCTGTTGCCTCCTGCTAGCCAAACGCACGGTTTTTCAAAACTTTTATGACATCATTATCACCCTCCGAGATGATCTCGAAGAGCATGGTTGCTTGCAGCTTATTCGTTGCTTCAGGTAACAGTGTTCGCCTCGGTCATCTCATCGGGCACCAATGACGTCTGTAAAAAAGCACTTTTCCCTCTATCGATGCTGCATTCATGTTAGCTGTGCGCAACATGAACCGTTGGGCGTACCCCATGGGACAGGCATGTGGCGAGTGGATGCAGCACAGCCGGTTGAGTTCAGGTCTGTTCACACGCTTCAGGAAGTTCGATCGGCAAATTTGACTTACGAGGAAAAGGCGCCTGGTTGGGGCGAATATGTACATTCACGACACCTTGGATGGTAAAATAAAAAGAAAAAGGTGACTTGCTGGATAAGCAAGCCGGTGCTTTGTGTATAAATGCCTAGTCTTAAAGTTATATCATTGTGACGGCCTATTTTAGGTCAAACAAGGTTTAAGATTTAAAGATTTGTACGCACAAGAACACACGGTTTTTTAAATCGGTCTCGTGAAAGATCCTTGCACCGACTTTGCGCGGGCTAAACGACAATGAAACACATTTCGAGTTGTCAATTATCCCTGGCCATCGAAATCTTGAAATGTGGATACAAATTCACGAATTATTTTAGATAGCATTTGACGGTACTTCAAAGGAAAGGCTAACTCCGAATTACTGGGAATGACCCACGTAACCCGAATGCGCGGGATATGTAAATTGTTTTTAATGTTATAATGTTCTGGAATGGTACTCAGCAACAGTGACGCTGCTGGAAGAGTGATGGGGATAAGATGGAGGATGCAGGGAGAGTCATAAGCATATGTCCGTTATCTAGTTCCTTTTTTTTTAAACGCATTCTCAGATTTGCGCAAAAGTATGTCAGAATAAATAAAGTTGTTGAAAAACATCGATAGCTTGGATACCCATATCAATACCAGGAGCTCAAGAGCTTTTTTACCTATACCAAGCAGAAGATATAACTTACTGTTTGATTTGATATACGGATTCGTCAAACTGCGTAAGTCTGCACCTACATGTTTGTTCCCGTAGCCCAGTTGGCAAGAGCGTTTACGTTCTAATCCACCCATCCGTGGTTGTTGGGTTCGAGTCGTTTTACGCGCTCGCTATTCGTATTTGACATGCATGGCCCGCGACCAGTGGCAGCGGCCGGTGGCAGCGACCGCGCTAAAGCTCAGGTAACGCCAGAGGGCAGAACGGGCCGTGCCGAGCACTGCGGCACGCTACACCTTCGCCTCAAATTCTGCCGTTGACCTAGAATCATGTGGTCGGATGTTGGGAACCAAGGCTCACACAAGCACTGGTTAGCGTGAGTTCTGACTCCCGAAATTCATCTATTCAAAAGCTTCGATTACAACTTTGAAAAAAATGTTCTTGCATCTCAGACCAAGGACGAAGGGCAAAGACCCTCTCGTTAAAGGAAGTGTTGCACATTTATTTTGGATTTTGAACTGAACTTGCCATCTTGAAGGCCTTTCGTTTACAATCACTCTCGATGTTCACAATCCTGCCCTTCTTAAGACCTAAGCCCCTCTAGTTTCTGAGCTACACGCCCTGAACTGAAATCGCCATCTTGAAGGCCTTTCGTTTGCAATCACAATCAATGTTCACAATCCTGCCCTTCTTAAGACCTAAACCCCTCTAGTTTCTGAGCTATACGCCCGTGACAGTGGGAAAAAGTGTAACAAGGAGAGTATTCCAAAGTCGCCTTGGGCTTCATGACTTCATAATACCGTCATTTAAATCCTGCCATTCCATTAGCCATGAGGTGATCAAGGTAACAAAAATAAACGGCCGTCAATTGGCTCACCACCAATCAAACGATGACGCCTTGGGGAGCACATTAACTCAACAGAGAATTTTGCTGTGTAGAGGAGTCTTTTCCACTTAAAAAGCATATCGATACTAATAAGTGTACTTATTTCATCATGTCTCATGCATGCTCCAATATTTTCACATGTGAAACATCCCCTTTAAGCTTTCCAGTGAACATACCATGCTTAAAAAGTAAACCAGCATCTAGAGACCGTCTCACATGTTGGCAATTGGGCGAGTCGGTGTACATAAAGAATAATCGGGCTGATCTCCCATCATCGTGGTTTTTTTAGGAGCTATTTTCAGCCATGTGTGAAAGGCTTCTGGCTGCCAGCAGGTGAGGAATTCTCACTGCAGTTGGCTCCCGCCTTTGTTGCAGGTCTGGGTTGCAGTTGGTGTTACCGTGACGTTCATCACGCCCCTGCTGTATCTTCTAGACCGCGTGAACCCGTACGCCCCGAAACTCTATCCACACGATCACGGTGCGAAATCGTCTTACTCACAGATGCAGTGGTTCATCTTCGCCGGAATTATTGGACAGGGTAAGACCGGCTTTTACGCCCCTCACGTTCAGTCTCCATATAAGTGAATTGGTTTTGCAAGGTGTACCCTACCGCACAATTTGTAATTTGCCATTAAAGTGTGGGGAATGAACAAGAAAAAGGTGTTTAAAAAAACGAAGCACCGCAGGTGATGACCGATAGAAGAAAATTAGAAAAAATGCAATAATGTGCTTCTGATCAGGCATAGGATCACCACCCTTGCTGCTATTCAACTCAGTGATGGTTTACTCTGACGTCATTTCGTCTATCAACGCCACGGCCACGCAGATCTCTTTCGACTCCAGATGTCCACAGAACTGACCTGCCACCGCGAACAGCGGAACTATAAAAACACTAAGGACTTACCTAAATCGCCGTGGCATGACCCCTGGTGTGGCAGATGTTCGTTGTTGCCCGGTGCCTGGCAACCAGCCTTCGTTGCCAGGCGGCCACAGCATCCCGGCCAACATGGCGTCTCGCGTGCTGCTCTCGTTTTGGTGGCTGGCCGCCATCACTCTTATGGCCTGCTACACTGGTAAGCATGCACGGGTTAGCCGGAGGCGTATCAGATGCCGCGCCGTGTCATTTCAGGCGCTGACAAAGGGGACTTGTCTCGTTTCACTGCATTGTTACCTTCAGCCCATTCTCCCGCTGTTGAGTGAACCGCCAAAGCTGGTTTCTGCTACGCTGTCCGAACGGCATCCGTGGTAAACGCCGTAAAGCGCCTGAGACTAGGAACTGCGACGGAAATGGAACAAAGTGAGATGCATAGTAAAAGACGACAAACGAGCTGGATCACTTGCACGCTACCTGATTATCAATCATCTATAACTGTGTTATCTGTTGCGAGCATATGGCCGCTAGGTAGTTCTAAATCGTGAGGGAATATTTGTCGACCATTATATATCGAGTCCAGAATATGCATTTATTTGTACGCTAATTGTGTTGTCGAGAGCTAACTTTTAGACCAATGGCGGGCATGTTTTGACTGCTGCAGAATGCAGCAGTCATTCATCAATGCATCATCGCATCATCAAGTCATTCATCAATGCATTCATCGCTGCAATCAGTGCTGCCGGTTTGTGTCGCACGATTGCTTAAGAAGCCTGACCTCAGGTGGGTTCCCAGGCACCCTGATCGCCTTCCTGACGGTGCCCAGCGTGGCCGACTCGATCAAGTCTCTGGAAGAGCTGGCTGGGCAGGACGAGATCAAGTGGACCTACCGCATCTACTCGGCCATGGACAACCTCTTCCATGTCGGTGCCCTTCGCAGACATCCGGAGTGGTGCTGGAACACGAGCCTGTCGTTTAGCACCCGCAGGTCGCCTGGCATTGCAGCGTATCTCCAGTCAGGGCGCCTTAAGGCAATTTCACACTGCTCATGACAGCACTTCCTGCTCACGTGATGCACTTCCGTTCTGAGAGGACTGACATTTGTGTCGCCATTTGGTCATGCGTTGCGAGGTGACATACCAACAAACACGTGTTTGCCTACTATTGTTCGAGTCTTAATAGCGGCAGAGCTTGAAGGTGTGCTTTCATGGCTCAATAATATAATGCCCGAGCTCGAGTTTAAGCGGAAGCCCCGCTTGGCTATCACCGTCTATTACCGCCTATCATCGTCAGCGGCCGTCTGTTTATCATGTTCACGCGAGGTTCGCCATGTGTGCCGTGCACGCTCAGTGGCGCTCGCCTCCGGTGCCTATACATGGACTAGCTCCAGCAGCGGTGCCAGGTGCCCTCAGCGCCGAGCGACGGTGACCCGCTACACCCCCGGGCCAAGTCCCACTAAGCGCTCCAGAACCGTCAGCATCACCAGGCGATAACCCACTACACCCCCGGCTGGGCTTCACTGAACGCTGAGTGTTCCCTGGTAGACGTCAGAGCCGACGGGAGGTGACCCGCTACACCCCGGCCGGGCCCCACTGAACGCTGAGTGTTCCCTGGTAGACGTCAAAGCCGCCGGGAGGTGACCCGCTACACCCCGGCCGGGCCCCACTGAACGCTGAGTGTTCCCTGGCAGACGTCAGAGCCGACGGGAGGTGACCCGCTACACCTCCGGCCGAGCCCCACTGAACGCTGAGTGTTCCCTGGTAGACGTCAAAGCCGACGGGTGATGACCCGCTACACCCCCGGCCGAGCCCCACTGAACGCAGACCATCGCCCGGCAGACGTCCGGCTCGTCCGCCTACACCCGGATAGCCTCTAAGTATACGGACGCCAAGGTGACCACCGACTACGCCGGCGTCGACAAGGTGCTCACCGGACAGTGGGCCTTCATCAAGGTGACGGCTTCAGCGAAAGGTTGCAGTCGGCCGTACCGCACAGAAAGTGCAGTCATTTTCGCCTGCTAGATACCTTTATGGCCATTTCTACACAAAAGGGCTGGGCTGCTCGTGAGGTTTTTCATTAAGGTATAAAGCTAAGCTAGTAATTGCTCAGGCCGCGGATCTACATTCAGTTGTTGTGTTGGCTCTTCTGAAATATGCTTGCCTGTGAAGCATGGCGAACTACCGATAGCGTCGTTTATGTCTCCTTGTCAGGCTTACGTTGGCCTGAGTCATGCAATAAAGGGTTCCTATCGCCGTTCGTACGCAATTGCGCCTCCGCTTCCGTAAGACGTGATTTCGATCCAAATCGTTCTTTGGGCACGTGATTGTCGACAAAATGTTTCAGGTAAGACGGCAGTATGATCGTGAACGTGTCGGTTATAGTGTGGGCAACAGCGCACTTGGGCTGCAAGCGGGAACATGTTTAGCTGAGGGAGAAGAGCAAAAATGTCCACGCTAAATACCTTCAAGTTCACACGTATTCGATCCAAGATGCGAGATTTGCATGTCCTCCCATGGGGAAACTCAGGCCACCTCCTTGCTTGCAAGAAGATCGCATCGGCTGCGTTCCCAGCAGCAGTCAGCAGCAGCATTCCCAGACTTAAGTCACCCGCCTTTCATCGCGCGTTTACGTCCCAAAACATGGATTTTCTGCGCCGGCTTATTGTTGTCGGCTTCGAAGCACAATGGGTCGTGGGAGCCGCACCTCAAGCTGACATTAACGTCCAATCAGCCTGACGTGTCGGTGGTGCTGTGGACTGCGCGGTCGTGCGAGGCGCCGCCGCCGCCCGCGTGACGCCTGACCGTTACGGCCCGCTCGTCGGCAGGAGCGGTCGTTTCTGGACTTCGCACTGGACGAGGACTTTCGACGCACGGGACGTTGCCGTTTACAAGTGGCCGAGCGCGACTTCTATACGGTCGGCTTCGGCTGGGTCCTGCAGACGGGCAGCCCACTGAAGGAGCTGTTCGATATGGAGTGAGCGCTGCATGATGGTGATGGTGATGGTGATCATGATCGTGATCGTGACTGTGATCGTAATTGTGAACATGATCGTGATCGTGATCGTGATCGTAATCGTGATCGCGATGGCGATCGTAATCGTAATCATGAACGTGATCGTGATCGTAATTATGATCGTGACTGTGATCGTGATCGTAATTATGATCGTGATTGTGATCGTGATCGTGAACATGATCGCGATGGTGATGGTGATGGTGATAGTGATGGTAATGGTGACGGTGGTGGTGATCGTGATGGTGATGGTGATGATGATGGTGATGGTGATGGTGACTGTGATCGTGATGGTGATCGTGATGGTGATGGTGATCGTGAACGTGAACGTGATCGTGATCGTGGATGTGACTGTGATTTCCCGACCGGCGCAGTTGGGTGGTTTAACGATAGCCGGCTGCTATCACCAGGCAGATCACGTAAATCACTGCTGGTCATAAATGTGCAATTCACACATTCCGGAGCGTATGCCTGTCATCTTTCCGTCTGGCTGTCCTTGTCTATAGCGAGATGCTTAACATAAACGGCTGTTCGGATTGTCACGAAATTTACGCATACCACGGGTTCAAATTGCGTAACGACAAACGGCATATATTCAAGCCCGTTCGACGCCGATGTTGGTCACAGCACGTGCAAGACGGGGCCGTGTTTTGCCATTTAGGGGCGGTACTCTTTCCGTGTACACAGGCGTATGGACGTTGGGCCCTTGAGTGTCATGGCACCATCACTTTTCCAGAATGCGGAGCATTAACCCTTCGAAAACGCATGTAAAGAACCGACTCCAAAATCAGTGTTGACATGCCGGGTTCTGAGACGTTCCTCCGAATATGTTTGTATATACAGAAAAAAACAAGTTGTGCAAAGACCAGATGTCGAAAATGTGCCGCGCAGCTCCAACAATGATGCATATAGCATCCACACCCGCATGGGATCGCCAAGTAATGCAGACATTGCAAGATGAAGACACATTACAAGGCTCGTGCAACGATGGGCATATCGTGTCCATGCGCAGGGGACTGCCAAATGACACAGGCGTTGAAAGCTTAGCAAAAGTGATCTAGACACAATGTGCACCCTCGAGATGAGAATCAAGGCTATTTTGACTAGAGGCAGTACAATGTTGGCGTCACTGGCCTTGTTGGCTGCCAACCCGTCCCAGCCCGGTTCTTCAAACAGCGAACCAAGTGGGATCTACAACAAAACAATTTCTGCTCGATGTCCCGGGTGCGCGGAGCAGCGTTGCACGGGAAATGTGTCCGAGTCAGATCTGAGAGCTGGACAATTATTGACAGCTGCTAGCCAGGGATGTAGCGAAGGAGGAAGAGCACGGAGTCATGGCCACCTGAGCCGAGCGATTTGCAATATATACTTGGCGATCTCGTAGGAATTCGGTGCGAATGTTCACGGGTTTCAGAGCTTTTGGAGAGACTGAGTTTAGACAAGATTGAGATCTACTTCACGTTGTTGGAACAAGAGTCAACGTTACGTCGGGGGCACTCTCGGCGGCCGCCAGCGCCCGCGCCTCCGCCGCCAGTCGCACCTCAGTGTCCGCGCCGGCCACGCTCTGAGCAACGCCCCTGACGCAGGTTTTTGCGGATGAGCGAGACGGGCCTGCTCAACAAGTGGAAGACCATGTTCTGGCCCAAGTCGTCCAACTGCAGCACGGGCCTCATCTTCACGGACGTGGGCATCCAGCCGCTCGCGCTGGCCGACCTGGTCTCCACGTTCCTGCTGTACGCCGCCGGCATCCTGTTGGCGCTGGTCGTCCTGCTGGCCGAGCTCGTCACGCGGCGGTGTCATCGGCGGCGCGCCGTGGTCTCCGCTGTCCAGAAGCTCGCAGCTCACCCAGGGGACACTCTGTAGGGAGCGGGGAGGCTGCGAAGCACAGTCAGTGTTGCTGCGCCCTAACAGAGTGTCCTGACTTGACCTCAGGTCACATTGAGTATTAGGTCACTCTTAGCGCCCTGGACCTGCAGTGGACCAGCGGGGAATAGTTCACTCGGGTTTGCGCTATGTAATAGGTGCCGTTAGGCACAAGGATCATGTAGCTACATTGCATAGACGAGCACAGTCACAATACTAGTACAACGTCTACGGGGCCGGACTGCGGCGACGCCCGGGGAGGGGAACTAAAAGCGCAACAAATCGTATATTTTGTTCGCCCGGTATGCGACGCTGACCGCTTGTTGTGTCACAGGAAGTAGAGGAATAACTGAACCGCTAGTGTCTCACTGTGGCAATTATGGTAGCCACTGCGGAGAGAAATGGTGCCTGAGACTGTGTGATGACTGTATGAACTGTAGCGAACGAACTGCATGATGCGGTGTTCAGCATAGCACAGCACACAATAAGTCACGTGAGAAATCAAACATACACACAAGAGAAACGTGAAAGAACGAGAGAGGGATAGACCGAAACTGACATTTTTTACCTGGCCGTAGTGTTTGCACGCAATATACCATGGGTATCACTGAGAGGTAACCAGATCAGATTTTTCATCCGCAACCCGGGGACCCCTTAACTGGCGCAGAAAGATTCTGCTCACAGCTCAACGCCAGGCTTTTCCGAGACATCCTGTAATGGTAAGGAGCGTTACCAGATGGACACACTCCTTCCGCCGACCGCTGTAGCACGCCTTCGTCCGGCTTCCGTGCGGGGGAGCGGCCGGCTCCGTGGCGCCAGAGCCGGCCTGCGGGCCGTTTCCGGCCCGTATGGTTCCGGTGCGGCCGCTGGTGAGCGGTCGCAGGAAGAGACCCGATAGCAACGGCGCGCCACAGGAAGCAGCAGCCGGCTGTGCCACCCCCGCGGCTCACAAACTCACAAGCTCATGGTGTCCAACTCGGCAGCAAGTGGCAAGCACACTGGCTTCGGAGTGTGCCACTTGCCACTGCCACTTGCCTGTGGTGGGCAGGCATCCCGGTATTCAGAGGCCTACGGCTTGTGAGCATGTTGGAGGCGCGCATAGCGGTACGTGTAAGAATAGCGCTCGTGTTTGCAGTTGTGTCTGCTCGAGATCCTTCCACGGAGTGGCTTTTCGGGTATTCGGTTGGTTGCAATGCTGGGCTAGGTTTTGTTACACTCACTCACTTGTTACAATTCGTTATTAACACATAAAAGCACCAAATATACTATAGCATGCGAACGAAGTCGAACAATGAATACAATAAATGCCCTTAATTAATAACATTAGAATCTGCCATACCCAAAACACATATACCAAGATAAATGAATACAAATTTTAAGCACATGGGATCTGCAATGACATGCAGAGATCACACATATATGACGCATGTACATATACACATATCTGACGTACAATCATACATCTCACCGGTATGAGCTTAAAACCAAGGCAAGTGGAACAAGATTTGTGTTTGAAATGTTAGTTTCCAATACCTCAGCTGAACACATGGTGGTGGTCGGAGGCAGGCGGCTCCAAGTCGCCACGGCACGGTAAGAAAGAGCTCGCTTGTTGGCTTTCAACCGGCACCTTGAGCTGATGGAGAGATACTGACACGGAGGAGCGCGTCTCCCTTAATGAGAGGACCGTGGATTGGAAGAAGATTGGTCAGCTGGGGACGACTGCTAGCATCTCAGCGCTTTGAATGATTTCAGCATGTCCCTCTGTTACAGCAATTCATCAATCTGTGGTCAGCCTAGATACTCCAGAATCGGTGTTATACTCTGTGTGTCATACCAGAGACAGTCCTGGCGGCCGAATTTATAGTTTTTTTTCTGCGCCTGGCGCTGGCACTTCGTCGTACTCCATACACATAGACAGTATGATATGTTTGTGAAAACGCGGGCTTCCACAACAATTTTCACAAGATCAGGTGTAAAGTAATGCTTAAGGCGGTGCAGGTCACGATTCATGTATTATAATTCCGACGCATTTTGCACGATATTGTCGACGTGCTTCTCCCACGGAAGAGTCGAGTCCATGATCACACATGGCCTCTCCAGCTATCGCACAGCGGAAATGGCAGCCCTTTTAAAATTGTTCTGCGTCTACGAGAACGAAGCCAGTTTTAACTTCATTCACTTTCAAACTTTGCGCTAAACGAAGCCTGAAGTCCGCAAACCCATATTTCCAAACGACAATTTAATGTGTCGGGACTCTGCTGGTTGGGAGAAGCGCGGCCCAGGAGCTGGGTGTCATCTGCATGTGAGTTTATGCGCCCATATTACAGGTGACTGGGCGGGTGCTTGCTGAATATGGTGAATAAAAGCGGACCGGCCATGGATCCGTAGGACATTCCTTGGGTTATCGGAAGGTTCGGCAGGCTCCCATGCACCACCTGTCTCTGACCACTCAAATAAGTTTTGAACCAACCAGGGTTGGATATGCCACCTGCACCACCCGCCACCTTCCCGCACCACCCGCCACCTTCCCGCACAATTTAACAAAAGATCACGAGATGAGTTGGAAATGGCAACGTTCCATCTCGCTCTTTTCCCTCCATTATGTTACTAACACCACCTAAATGCAGCGCCCGAAGGGAAGTGTCGCTTCATCATCGGAAGTCCGCATCTCCAAGCCCGAGTGCACGAGGCCCAGACGGATTTGAGAGCCGCGACGTCCACGTGTGCGGGCGCTTCCGGAGTCGGCATCCGTTGCGCCGCCGCCGGCGGCTGCAGAGCAGTGCGTCCCCGCCGCCGGGACCGTGCGTCCGCCCTTTCGCCGGTGTCATCGGCCATGGCAGCCGCCGGCGTCACCTGCCTGCTGCTGCTGCTCAGCGTGCTGGTCACGGTGAGACTGGCCTCGGCCGACACGGCCGCTGTCCCGCCATGGGGGTCAGCCCTCCTGGCGGGGTCAGTGGGGTCAGTCCTCCTGGCGGGGTCAGTGGGGTCAGCCCTCCTGGCGGGGTTAGCGGGGCCAGTCCTCATGGCGGGGTGGGTGGGGTCAGTCCTCCTAGCGGGGTCATGGGGGTCAGCCCTCCTGGCGGGGTCAGTGGGGTCAGCCCTCCTGGCGGGGTCAGTGGGGTCAGTCCTCATGGCGGGGTGGGCGGGGTCAGTCCTCATGGCGGGGTGGGTGGGGTCAGTCCTCCTGGCGGGGTCACGGGGGTCAGTCCTTCTGGCCAGGTTACTGTCTTCACATGACCTGAAGTGTTGTAGATTGGCAAGCGGGAGGGATTTTGAGTTATGGTATCAGCAAACTTCTCATAGAAACATGATCTTGGCTCGATCTAGGTTTAACGTAACGTTGAAAAGCATACCAGTAAAATTCTTCATACGTGTAATTGCTTAATTGCTTTGAGAATGAAACGAACGAATGAAGTAAACAAATGTTGCTGCTGAGTTCATCATTTTATCATCTTCCAGCAGAAAAAAAGGGTCCAGTAGAAGTTTCAACGACAGAAATCGAGCTCAGATCCCCGTGCCAGCCGTGTATTGTTTGACGGCGTGGTTGCCTGGCGCAGAGTGAGCCAGTCGAGAGGCAGCCTGGCCGCCTGCCGTGTCCGGCCGTCTGCACGTGCCACCAGACGCCGCCCAGCCACGTGCCGCTAGTACGCTGGCACGAGACGGGAGACAGGGACCACGAATCGCAGCACCACTGGGACTTCTACCACCACCACGAGGTTTGGCGTCGCGCTCGGAGCAGCGCCCCGGCGGTCCGCGGGAGACACGGCCCAGCCTGAAGACATCTCGAGGATTTGACCACGGGCTACCCCACCTATGTGCGATTTCGCTCGCCGCGCATCGCGATACGCTGGTGTGTAGATATCGTGCTGTTCTGTCTCCAACTTCTACAACGGTGACCGCTCCTCAAAGACAGGGCCATTACGCTCCTGAACATGACAGTGTCCGCCGCCCGCTCGGCCATTTACATCCGTCGCCTGCCTGTCGACCAGGGCTTGAACCATACGGCAGCGGAGGGTGGACATGAAGAGGAGGAGTCAGTGCTCTCCGTGGTGTGCGTGCTGCAGCGCGAGACTGAGGCCGCCCAGCTTATGAGCAGTCTGCCGGCCGATACCCAGGTCAGGTCACTGACGTACCCATGTAGATGACGACAACGTCCACAGATGGCACTGCCTGATTGCCATGGTAAGGTTACACGACGCGTTGTCACACGGGACAATTATTGCGCTGACACACTGTCACCTGACGCAGTGCCATGTACGACATATTGCGACACGTGGCGTATCGTTATTTGCAGTGTTTTATCAAACTCACACGGCACGGAATCACATACGCTACATTGCCACATACGACACTGTGTAAACATTTACTAACAACACATTGCCACATACGACACTGACTAAAATGGCTTTACACGCGCGGTTCGTTGTCAACTGTGAGAAACTGTCCCGCAGGTTGCATTGCCTCGCACCACATTTTGTTGTGCATGCTACATTGCTACTTGCAACAACTGTCACACGTGACACGTTTTTAAGCGTAGCAAATCATAGGACACGACACACTCCCACACAGGACGCATTGTCACATGCGGCACATGGGTTAACGTCATAAACTGACACACTGCCAAATTGCCACACGAGATATTTTCGCAAGTGACACATTGCCACTCAGAACACATGAATTACGCGTCATAAATTGTTGTGTGTGTCATTAATTGACACGTATGCCACACCGTCGCACGTGATTTTCACAAGTGACACATTGACAATCAGGACACAACGGTTGCACGCGATGACACGCGACACTCATGCAGCACGCTCTCGTGTTGTGGGCGCGAGATCACCGGCAGGCATCTCAGATACAGGAGCACACGCACACCTTGCGGCTTGCCCGGGGTACTCGGAACACCGCCACTGGCGGGCTCATCATCATCGGCATGTGCGAAGGATACAGCTCACCTCGAAGCGGGACCCACCCGCCATCACTTCAACTTGTCGAGAGCCAGCCCAATAAATATCTGTCTTCTGCGGTGCTAACAGCCCGTTCCTGTTGTGTTTTAGTGGCCCGTTCCTAGCCTGCTCTCACCGCCCATTTCATTTCCGTTGCTGCTGTCATTGGGGCTTAACGACGCACTCAGGTGCTGAGACTATATAGGGTCGCCTGCATTTCCCCATAGGGGGGGGGGGGGGGATGGACGCCGCGGGGAATCGAACCCCTTACCTCCTCTTTCTCGGATACGCAGCTTAACCACTACATTAACGGCGCCCGTTGATTTTTTTCCGTTCTGACCACTCACCTCCTTTTCGTTTTGATTGCCGTTTCTTCCTTGGTTTTAGCCGCCCTGCTTTGTTCTGACATACATTTCTGGTTTCGACCGCCCTCTCACAGCGGTTTGACCGACTATTCCAGTTCCCTTCTCACCAGCCTCAGTCTGCCAGTTCTCGTTTCACCCTGATCACATGTCTCTGTTTCACTCCGGCTTTTCATTTTTGTGCCGTCTTGGCTGTCCTTTCCAGTTCCCTACTGACAGCCAGTTTCCGTCACGTTTTGGCCATTTGATTCCGTTCTGTACTGACTAGCCGCATCTGTCCCGTTCCGGCCGGCGTTTCAGTTTAGGTCTGAACATCAACCCCCTCTTCTTTTGATCCTTTTGGGCACTTTGGGGCGTCGATCTGCTCCAGCGTGTTGATATTGATCGGCCAACCAGCTGAGGTGCTCCGAGCACAAGGACACACTGCGACGACTCACCCTCGTGTCATTCTGCCCGCTCGCCTTCAGATCTCTCTAACCGCCTACGCGCCGCTCCGTTCCAGTTCCTGTCGCTGCTGCAAGCGCCCGACATGCAACCGACCTACCTGCGCGTCGCCGAGTTCGACGGTGTGCGCCAGCTGCGCGGTCTCGAGATCCAGGGCTACCACACACACGACGAGCATGAGCACGCGGCGGCCGGCGGCCTGCACGCCAATGACCTGGCGTCGCTGCTGGCACGCGCCGACCGTTACCACGGTCTGCTGGAACCGGGCGCCGCGCCGCGCAGCCTCATCACGCTCAGCGACAGTGCGCTGCGGGGCCTGACGAGGCTGGAGTACCTCCACCTGGAGCACGTGCTGCTGAGTCCAGACCCGGCCGGGCCCAGCGTGGCCGAGTACCGTGTGGAAGAGCTGGACGGCGCGTCCGCGCCGCACAGCCTGCTGGTCGAGGAGCAGCCGCGCATCGTGCCGTACGAGGAGTTCCGGCAACGTCAGGCGCCGCGCTATTCCAACTTTGCCAATCTGACGGCTTTGCGCTTCCTGCGACTGGCGCACGCCGGGTTAGAGGAGATCTCGTGGGAGCTGTTCGAGGGGCTGGACGCGCTGCGCCAGCTGAGTGTCGAGCACCAGCTGCTGCGCACTGTGCCCGACTTCGCCTTCTACGGCTGCCCGAACCTGCGCCGGCTCTCGCTCGCCGACAACCTGCTCACTATCAACATGAAGAGCTTTGCCGGGCTGCTCGACCTCGAGGAGCTCGACCTCTCCAACAACCTGATCTCAGAGCTGTCGTACATCTCGCTGGCGCCGTTCCCGCGCTTGCGCGAGCTCAGCCTGCTCGGCAACCCGACACAGCTCGTCTACAGCGGCGCGCTCGACATGATGAACCGCACCGAGGTGCTGCGCTTGGGCGGCGCCGACGTGCCGCTCGAGCTGATGCCGCACGCGCTCGACCATCTGGCCGAACTGCGCGAGCTGACCGTGGCCAACGTGACGCTGCCGGCGCTGACAGGCGTCGAGTTCGCCGCGCTGCCTCGGCTGGTCGAGCTCGAGCTGCATGGCTCGGTGCCACGCCTGGAGTTTGACGCGCTACGCTCCAACGGAGCGTTGGAGCGACTCGACCTGTCGCGCTGCCACCTGGAGGAAGTGTCGCAGGACGCGTTCCTCGGCTTGGCGCGCCTCACCGTGCTCGACCTGTCGCACAACCTGCTGGAGGATCTGCCGTCCGAGGTGTTCAGCCCGCTGGTGGCCCTGCGCGAGGTGTATCTGCACCACAACCTGCTGAGCTGGCTGTCGCCGGCCGTGCTGGGCCCGGTGCGGCCCAAGCTGCTCCAGATACATCACAACCCGTGGGAGTGCAGCTGCCAGCTGTCCTTCCTCAGCGCCGCCATGACCAACAAGGTGCGTGTGGAGGGACGAACGCACCTGACAGGTGGTCTGGGCGGGGCCTGGGAGACCGCAGCTCGGTACCCCTGCAGACAGCTCCTGAACCGTCGTGTTCGACTACCGTCATGCGGCCGAAGTGGGCGTCTAGTCGCGTTCCGTATTGATGGTTAGCTCCGGCTGGTGCTTGCTGGGAGAGATAACCACATTCAGTGTGATTTTATGCCTACCGCCGAACCAACGTGAACCAAGGCCAGGTGAGCTAGTGTACTTAGACATGGGACACAACAAAATTTCACGTGTCTATTGATTAGCCAATTCTGGGATTGAGTGAAAAATACGGGCATTTTTGTAGAGACGACTGAGTAAAACATTTGCTGAACATGCTCTATAACACCTCAAGATTCAGGTTACATGCGACAATGTTGATACGAATTCGCTTATTCACCTTTGACCTCTACCGCAAATAATCTGTAAGCACTGGTTCATCCTACATTCATCGCTGTTAAAGCGCAGGCATAGTTCGAATGCTTCCGGAGCTTTGTCTTGTACCTGTAAGTTGCAAGCAAAACAATATAGATGTGCACCACCCAGTACAGAGAAGCTCATGCGTTGTCACCTTTCGCTCCATTTGCTAGGTATGGCTCATTGGGACCATGCACTCGCTACTTGCGTAAGCCACCGGCGCTCCCCTCATCCCGCCAGTCTGCTCGATACTCCCTGTCCCATAGCCGCCCGCGTCTCACCTTCCGTTCACCACAGGTGCGCAGCTCACGGGCGACCATCTGCCGGTGGGACAGCAGCGCCCCTAGCGGCCGCGTGTGCAAACACGAGGAGCGCGAGCACCTGACCTACGACGTTCGCGTGGAGCCGCGCTGCCACCAGCCGGAACAGTACCGCCACTGGGGCCTGTACGAGGTGCTGCGGCGTGAGCTGCGCTGCAAGCGTGCGCCGCCGCCCCCGACCGCCGCCCGTGGCGGCAAGTACTTGACGCTGGGCGAGGCCGACGACGCCGACTATCAGCTGATCGCAGCCGACGACGTGGTGCTGCTGGACGACCCGACCGAGTACGAGGACTATGGGGAGGCGGACGCCGGGTACGCGGACGAGGAGTTGGCGATGGCCGAGTATGCGGCGGACGACTATGGGGAGGAGGCGGAGGCGGTGGAGGCGGCGGAGGCGGCGGAGGCGGCGGCTCCGGTGGAACCCGCCCTTGTCACGGAGGGCTATGCTACCATCTCGCCTGAACTGTTCGCCATGCTGTCCAAGAAGGCGCAGAAGCTCGAGCTGGAGAGGATGAACCCCAAGTTCCGCAAGCACTACAAGCTGTGAGGCTATCAGAGCAGCGGGCGGGGTAGATTGCGTCACTCCATGGTTGGCTGGTGAGCCGTGGCTGACAGGCAGTGACTCTCCGCGTGCCACCCGCTAACAGTGACTTCCGCGTGCCACCCGCTGACAACGGCTCTCCGCGCGCATCCACTAACTGCGGAGGAACGCCACGCCCGTCGTTATTCGTAGGCTAGCAAACCACACTGCAACCACTGCGGTGGTCGCGTTGACAGAACGCCGTTCGGGTGGAGGCGTTTGTCCCTTTGCCCCCCCCCCCCCCCCACAACTCCAAACGCTCACCATGTCCGTTGCATTCCAACTCCGTCGTATCTGATTTTGACTTTGTAATTACATGTACGATGTCGACTCGTAAGCCTAATACACTGTACTATATCACTAAGCGTGCTGCTTGGATCGTATGTGACATCCCTCTGCGTTGGTCTCCAGCGTTGTGCGTGCTTGTCGTGGCATGCTTCGGAGCCGCGGGGGCGGGCCCAGCGCTGACCCTGCCCCCAGCCCCAGCGGCGAGCGACCGGAGGTCCGCTGCGGATCTGTGTTTGTCATCCAGAGTGTCCAGCGGCTGACCCCCGAGTGCCGCTCATCATGCCAACATCCGGAGCGTCCAGCGGCTGACCCCTGAGTGCCGCTCATCATGCCAACATCCGGAGTGTCCAGCGGCTGACCCCTGAGTGCCGCTCATCATGCCAACATCCGGAGTGTCCAGCGGCTGACTCCTGAGTGTCATGCCAACATCCGGAGTGTCCAGCGGCTGACTCCTGAGTGTCGCTCATCATGCCAGCAAGCCACGTCGAAATGCACGCAGGGCCGATGTTGTTTGTTTTCCGGTACCGGTCATGCCCCCGCGGAAACGCCTCGCGCGACCAGCGCTCGCAGGCGCCATAAACGTGCCACGCGTGCTAACCCACAACTGCGTGGGCTGGGGGCAGGGGATCCAGGACTTCGTCGAGAGGGGCGGGGAGGGGGGGTACGCAACCTTTTGGACCCCTTAATTTTCAACTTTAGAGCCTCTCCAGAAATCCTCATATCTCGTTAAGCACATTGCAGCCTTTAAATCTTACGATTCTTAGAATACTCTTCATACGGGAACACATCGTACTGTGCGTATCCCTAGTAAATGAGACATGCCAGGCATGCTCATGTACAGAGTGTAGTTCTTCTTCTCCAGATCATGGCAATCTTATCATTTGTGGGTGATGATTTAGGAAAAATGGCAAAATGAACTAAAGTTGTCTGCTGGATGCAATCAAAATCAAACATGAACATGATTTCTAGGTTAATTGGGGCAAGCCGGCTAGTTGATGTGATCAGCTGCTGGTTGATGTTTCATGCAGAGTATTGTTTATCTGTTACGAAGGAGTACAAAGTATCCTAGCATTCGAAATGCATTGAGACTGCGATGCACAAGTATCCTATGTGTCACGATTGAATAACCGACGGAAAATAACGCAAGACGACGTCGGCGGCACGTATGACAGTTCTATCCACTAAGCTGTAAGATCCTCCATTCACTTAAGGAATACCCAAAACCCAGCTTGGAAGGCCCGCAGAGGATCGAGCGTTTTCGAGCAGGCTATCAAAAGGGTCCTGACAAAACCGTAGGGCCCTAAGCATGTGGTAGAACATTGGAAGGGTTCTAGGCAAATGAAGAGAGCCGATGGGGATATTGTGAGTGCCCCAGTAGGTTACTTGGACCAGCAGTGCAGGCGGTGAGGGGACATGCGGGACACGTGGCTCCCCTCGGAGCCTACGATTATAAGGGCCGATCGAGGGACCGAAGGGTTTCAAAAGGCCGCCCGGAGGTCCCAATCGGGGACCATAGACCCACAGGGCCGAGCACTCCAATGCCAGGCAGATGGCCTGCGCGCTGATTAGGGGTCCACTGAGTCGTTAAGGGCCTATATTTTGGTCAGACATCACCAGTAGCGCACAGTCGACTCTGTGGCTGCATGGGCCTAAGGACCCGTTCCCCAAGCAAGGGCAAAGCCGGAGCCAGCGATTTACATTGTTCGGGTTGTCACGGCGCCATACAGGGGCCCAGGGGCCACAGGGTATTGTCAAAGGGCCTCGAGTCGATCAGAGGCAGTTGTTTTGAGAAGACTCGAAAGAGCCTATAGGGCCAACACCAGGTCCGACGATACAAGCGCGCGATAGGAGGGTCTGAGGCATAATGACAGGTCGGAGCTTTATTCAGGGGCCCCGTCCCGAGACGATGGACCCTCAAATATCGCCACCGGGCGAATCGCGCCGATCTGGAACCCCTTGAGTCGATATCGGCCTATGTGTCAGTCAGGTTTGAGTTTTGCATTTTGAATAAACGACCAAGATCACGCTAAGCAGTAGGTTCCCAAAAATATCATGTTAACATAGGTGATTTTAGTTCAGCGACCTATTCGGGCCTTTGAAAAGTGCATGGAAGATGTAACATGTTTCTCTTATCAATAAATTCGAAATGAGCACCCAAACTCCCTCATACAGCAAGCCCTAGCGTAATAAAACAGATCGGTTTTGACCTTGGTCTGGCGTGCAAAACTGACCATAGGTCAATGGAACTTGCATATGCAATTGTTGCGTTACCAAAGAAAGCATCTCAGAGATGTGTGGGTCTCGTCTAAGACTCCGTTTGTTGCATCAGATTGTACGATTCCCTAGAAATTGGCTTCGCAGAACTCATATCCTGAATTTGACCTGCCGTAGGTCGGCGACCTTACGGGGTACATCCAGATTTTTTCCTTCAAACGCTCCGCTATTCAATTGTCTACAGCTATGCAAAATTTGGCGACGCGCAGATCGCGCCATTCGGAAACCATTCTGGACAAAACCTTTGGAAGAGGGGTCTTTTTGACCCCGCGCGAAGCCCGCGGTAATGCAAATTATTAACCCATTTTTGATATTATAATTTACATTCGCGAAATACTTCGATATCCCTGTATAAATTTTCTCAGTTTTATTCGGTTTAAGAAAAGGTTACTAGACCATTGTGAAATGGAGGGCGCCGGTGAATTATTTCATGCAGTCATTTACCGCACGATTTTTCAGTTCATGTGCTATAAACATCAGGCAGAATTGATCTCGTGGTAGCATCTGACCTATATTCCTGCTACAGAACGTAAAGATGTGTAACACACACGCACACACACAAAACACACACACACACAACAAACACACAAACACAAACAAAACACACAACACAAAACACACAAACAAACACAAAACAAACAACACAACACCAACCACACACAAAAAATATATATATGGTGTGGTGTGTGTGTGTGTGTGTGTGTGTGGGTGTGTGTGTGTGTGTGTGGGTGGTGTGTGTGTGTGTGTGGTGTGTGTGTGTGTGTGTGTGTGTGTGTGTGTGTGTGGTGGTGTGTGGTGTGTGTGTGTGTGTGTGTGTGTGTGTGTGTGTGTGGGTGGTGTGTGTGTGTGGTGTGTGTGGGTGTGTGTGTGTGTGTGTGTGTGTGTGTGTGTGTGTGTGTGTGTGTGTGTGTGTGTGTGTGTGTGTGTGTGTGTGTGTGTGTGTGTGTGTGTGTGTGTGGTGTGTGTGTGTGTGTGTGTGTGTGTGTGTGGGTGTGTGTGTGTTGTGTGTGTGTGTGTGTGTGTGTGTGATAAAAACATGCCATCATTCACAAATCGACCATACCCGACGGTTTTTTTGGAGGCCTTTTGCGATCGGGAGCCTTTTGTCAGCCTTGTCCCACCTTGCCAGGGCTCTGGCTGCGCTCTTGACCGGGACTAACGTGACAGGCTCCTGAACAACCGAGAATACCCTGGCAATTTAGCATATGGGGTGCCCGGCAATGGTGTATAGCAAACGCTTCGCACAAATGGGAAGCAACCGTGGAAGGCTCCTGACTGACAGAAGTGCATGACATATTAGCGCCAAGGGCCCCAGCAATACCGCAGGGCCCTCCGAACAAATGCAAAAAGGCATAGGCAACGCAAAAGGCTCCTTGATGGTCGGAATAGCCTTGAAAGTGAACACATGGTGCACCAGAAACAGGGTAGGTTCCTGAACAGTATGATGAATCTTAAAATTTCCAATTCACAACCTTCTAAATTCTTGAAAAACTATTTTTGTCTACTCGTGGGTTCTTATTTTCAGTTCTCCTGTGACAATTCTTGCGACTGTGCTTCATTGCATGAAAGCCCAAAGACGTCTAGTTTTGTTGCGTTTTGTGTATGACACTACGTCTGTTCGAGACCCAGGAGGTGTCATGGTCCCGTGCCCCGCCCCCCCCCCCTCCCGATCCTCCCTGTCAGCGTCTTTCCCCCGTTTTAGGACTGCAGCTCTGAAATAGTCTTTGCAGTTGCCTGCAACCTGATCAGGCGGTCGGGGGAGCTCGAATGGACCCCCTGGAGCACGCTAGTGGCGCCACCACTGCTGGCGGTGGCGCTAAAATCGCTTCAGAGGGGAGGAATGAATCCACGCAGCCCATCGCCGTGGCCGGCGACACAGATATATTAGGCTCTGTACTGAGAAAAGAAAAAGTGACAAGCGTGGGTATTCGTCCCTGTTCTCACAAAATGCGGCATTTGTACCCGAAGGCTCCGCAAAAAGAAACGTTCACTGATGTGTTTCGCAAACATTGATGTTGTGTCTGATGCGGTGTGCAGCCAGAAACGAAAATCCACTTAGGAGACATGTCGATTACGCAGTTTGTTCAACCCACGCACGCAGTTTCACACCAATGCTATACCGATGATCTTATCAGTCAGATGTAC